ATGATAAAGGTATGGAAATTATATGTCTATACAATATAAATTATGGGAATGGTGGAAGCCCATGTTATGTAGATGAGAACTATAGGTATAGTTGGCATGCCAAGAGTAGAGGTCTACGCGGTCATTCGGGATATATATGTATTCTTTGGAACATGTGTGAGGTCTTTTAAGACACATGCTTGATCATTGGCATATGTATATAATTCTTAAGGAAATTTTCTACGTGGTCCTTAGAGACAATCTTATATGGCACTACGGTGTAATTCTACGCGGCACTACGGTGCAATTCTACGTGGCACTTTGGTGCATTTATACGAGCTGTGGTGACAGCATAGTGCACAACCTCACAGTACTCACATACCTTAGGTTATCAGTATGGTATCATGGGCCAATAATCTTACTAATATGAATTCATGAATGTTAATATATTATGCTTACAATTAAAGAACATGGTGATATAAACTGCATGGTTAAGCATTTGATTTCGTCTCATTCCATTTAATTATGGCATTTCCATTACATTTCTTTGTTATCATTATTATTATATTACCTCACTAAGTCGATGACTTAGCGTGTGAGTGTTTCACACGTAGGATCTGATAAATTAGACGATCGAGGTTAAGCAGCTGGACAACATTACTCCTGCAACTATCAGATCAGAAGCAACTTAATAGTATGTCATTTTGTTATGTAAATCAGTGTTGGCATGTAATAGAATGTTAAGTTGTGTATGCTCTGAGTATTTTGTGAACCTTGTATAAAATCTATATATATATATATATATTTGTATTTTCTTAATAGAAGTTCAAATGTTTGTTATTTTGTAATAAAGGTGTTTTAAAAAGGTAATGTGACACCTCGAACTAGTATATGGGTCAGATACGGGTTGGGGTATTACAGGGCAAATGAGTAATTGAACAAGGAAAATAATTAAATAATAATTAATGGGTATTATAATTCCCATGTAGAGAATGATTGAAGAGATAAGCTTCCAAGCAATTCTCTTCTTCATCTTCTTCTCTTCTCCACGTGAAAGCTCAAAGCAAAGGTGAATTATCTGATTTCTTGATTGTTTGTTGATTTTAAGCATGGGTTTTGATCCTTAGATGATAACTAAGCTTAAGGAAAGCTTAAGTTATCTTAAAATCAAAAGATAAATGAGTTATGATAGATTAAAGAAAATGGGTTTTTAAGTGAAATTTTGAATAAGAAGGTTTAAATGAATTTGGAGGATAAATTTGACTTGTCATCTATGAGAATAAGAAGTTAGAAGTGTTAGAATTAAGTTTGGATAACATGGAAAATTTGGTATGATTATTGATTTCTATATGGAGAATAGAATTTTGAGGTTTAAGATGAAATAAATGGATATAAATGAGTTTAAGCATGTATATTTGAGTCAAGAATATGAAAGGGAATGAAAGTTGAAGAATTGAAGTTGAAAGAGTGAATTTTCGTGCAATGAACAGTGATTTCTGGGTATGTGCATCGATGCATTAAGGGGTACATCGATGCATGGATATTTCGATGTTATTTTGTGTACCGATGCACCCATAGTGCATCGATACACTCCTAAAGGAAAAGTTAAAATTTGGTTTATTAAACTAGCTTGAGTTATTAACATCAAGTTATAAGGTTTAGGCTTTTGATAATCATCTTGGAAATTATATTTATGTAGATATCGAGCCTAAACGAGTTACGGAGCAATCAAAGAGTTAGGATTGAATCAAAGCAAGCAAGGCTAAGGTGAGTGCAATTTAATTTGTGCTTATGTTATAGAAGAACATTGGCTTGCGATGAGCCAGTGACGGAGTTACTATGGTAAGAAGTAACTCTTAAAATGTTATTGTATGTGAATGATCTACATGATTATATTATGTAATATGAATGACATGAAATGTATGTATGCTTGATTATATGAGTGTATATGTTAAATGACAGGTGCGAGTACATGTTAGTGTGATTGTGAATAGGTAGAAAGGAAATATATGTGAACAAAAATGATATATATGTTTATGTGAAACCATGCAAAGTGATACGATCTATGTAACATATGAATGAGAAATAAGTTATGTGATAAGGAAATAGAGAATGAAATGAATATGTGATAATGGAATATGAGAATATACGAGAAAGTCATGTGATATAAGATATATGGTTACACATACTATGGTATGTGACAGAAGAAAAGCAATATATGATTATAAGATCAATGATTACACGTACATGTGATACGTGACAGAAAAGAAGAGATATGTGTTTATAAAAGAAATGATATGAATAAGTGATGCTAATATGTGAACTGTATAAATGATAATGCCCATGTTATGTGATATGAGAGCTAGGGATATAGTTGGCATGCCAAAGGTCGAGGGTTTACCTATGTTCTTCGGGACATATGGACTGTTTACCTATGTTCTTCGGGACATATGGACTGTTTACCTAGGTTATTCAGAATCTATGGACTGGTCCTTCGGGACATTTATACGAGCTGTGGTGACAGCATAATTGTGCACAACCTCAATGTACTCACATACCTTAAGTTCTCACTGGTGTACATGGGCTAATAAAGAGTTTAAACAAATATATTGAATGTGATATGTATATGTAATTGGTTATATGAAAGAATATATGTTTTTAGTTATATGAATTGTATTATATGAATTATATGATGTTAATTGTATTTCTTTATAAAATGAAATATGATGGTATATGTGTATGTAGGCATTTTGATACATGAAATGTTTTATGATTTTATTATATGCTTATATGTCTCACTAAGTCAACGACTTAGCGTGTGATTGTTTCACGCGTAGGTTCCGAGAAGAAGAAGATTGGTAAAATTTTTGCAAGACATGTCAGTTTCTCCTTTCCAAGGATCAGATCAGAAAAGAAATGTATAGTATGTATTTTTTAATAAGGATATTGGTTGGCATGTAAATAAAGGTTTGAATACGATATGTTTTAATCAGTTTTGTTAAAATCATATGATAGAGTTTCGTAATATTTTAAACATGTTTATGTAAATGACAATTGTATAGTAATGAACGGTTAAATTTTACGAGTTTCATGAACGTTTTACGAAAGTCATTGTAGTAGTGCATCGATGCACAATTTTGCTTCGAATTTTTAGTGCATCGATGCACTGTAGCACTGTTCATTACTGTTCACGGTACTGTTCATACCGTATTTCACTGTTCATAAATACGTTTTTATCTCAAAATTTTATACCAAACACAATTGAACAATATATGATTGTATTTTCTTAATATAAGTTCAAATGTTTAGTTATTTTACAAGAATAAAGGTTTTGAAATGTTAATGTGACATCTCGGACTCGTATCCGGGTCGGGTACGGGTTGAGGTGTTACAACATAGCAGTTCTTTATATACATGAAATAGTAACCGTTTAACAGCTATAACAACTATAACAGAAAGCAATTATACTGCAAACTAACATCAACTGATAAGCAATGCTAAGCTGAACTACGCTGCACGCTCGTGCATGCTATACTCTATCCAATACATACACAAAATACAATGTGGGTAACACACATATTCAACAAAGTTTTTGGACCATGGAAACTCCATGGAGTGAAAAAGGTTTGGTCCCACTTCTCCACATCAATGGGTCATCATGTGCTTCTCCTCCTTGTACTTATGTTGCTGAAATGTTGCACATTTTTCATGGACCCCACAAGCATGCCTATATGTGGACCTCTATCCCCACCTATCAGACAAAAGTCAATAAACGAAGAAGAAAATCCCACCTACATGGATTCAATAAGAGGGTCAAAGATGATAAAAGAAGCCTCTAACCAACCGGGTTTGATGCATTTTCACAATGTGAACTAAACTTAGATGTTCTTAATTGAATGTGTTTTGAAATACTTTTTGATATTTAAGCTAATTCGAAATGTGTAATGGGGATGAGAAAAAAAAACACAATGTGAAATGAATGATACATCATATACGTGTTTTGTCTCTCGATCAGAAGTTATTCAATAATGTGATAAGTTGAACATATTATATTTAATGAATAAAATTATTATTTTCGTATAATACGAATGTTTAACGTCGGTCATTAGATATCATTTGTGTTTGTTCATTTCATTTTTCAAGCATGTAATCAGAATCTAATCTTTGTTTTTAAAATAAAACACATTTTATGATTAGTTATTTATCTTTTTAAAGAATATTATATAATAAATACAATATAAATATAGAGTTGTAATAAGATTTTATAAAGAGAGAAAAGAAAGACCCCCACAATGGAGAGAATGTGCAAAGGCAAAACCAAATGGAAAAGCTGCCTATAGGAGAAACGGTTGGTAATCATTTCAGAAGGAATGGAAAAAGAAAAGAAAATAAAAAAGCTGGAATTTGAATTATGTCTATCCATGTTTTCTTTTGTCCTTGTTTTTCCAATTTTTACTTTGGGTAAATTTTATTAGAGGTCATCAAACTATGTCAGAATGATCATTAAATTTATTAAATTATTATAAATAATCCTTAAATTTATTAGTATCTATAACATTGTAAGGACTATTTTATAATAATTTGATAAGTTTAATAAATATTTTGTAACATTTAAAAAATTATTGAAACAAATTACTTTGACATAGTTCAGGGACCTATGATGTACTTTACCCTCTTAATTTTCAATCTTCAAACAATGCCTTTGCTTTTACATGAAAAACAACACCAAATATGATATCATAACTTTTGCAATTATCTAGTCCCCCATATACCAAACCCCACATTTATGATTAAAATTCCAATCCCAACCAATTTGCAGAAACCCAAAAATCAATTAAAATTATATTTTCAAAAAAATAAGTTTCATATCCCAAGAAAAAACACACTTTTGCTCCCTCTCTCCATTGCCGTTGACTGAACATGTAAGTGATTTTAATCCTTTTCTTTTCTCTTTAGAACAACCCAATCAAACCTTTCAAATTTACACTAACATGGAACCATTGATGTGTGTGTTTCAGATGTTCATTTAGCTATTTAAGACAGAACCCTCGTCCCCAACATACATGACCGAGTTTCGGATTAACTCTATGGCTTATTACACTACTCCTACTTCCCTAGGTTGGGATCTTCAAAACCTTGGAGTTCTCAACGCAGACATGTCTTTAGGTATAAAAGCAGTGTCTTTTACTTTCTTTTCTTCTCTCTCTTTCACTGTAGTTTTTACTTTTGGTTTGATGTGTTTTTTTAAGTCATTTCTGGTTTAAATTGAGTTTCTGTCTCTGTGTGTGTGAATGCAGTAATGGATGGAGTTGGAACTGTTACTGCAACTGCAACTGCAACTTCCCCATGGTTTCCACATGCAGATTTATCTTCCGGGTATCTCGAAGATGCTTTGCTGGAATTCACCGAACGATCGAAACGAAGACGAGTGTTGCTGTACAATGATGATCATGATCAAATTAATGGTTTCAATGATCATGCAATGGTTATTTTTTTTTGTTTTTGGAAATATTTCAGTTTCTTGTTCTCTTTTAGTATGCTGAGTTAAATTTTTACTGCTATTTTGCAGCAAGGATACTGGAATTATAGCTGCAACTGGGGCCTCTCTGAGGATTTCACCTGCATGAGCCAGTTAACAACAAGCATTAATGGTGTTTCAGGTAATGATTATGAGAATTTTCACCATGCAGAGTGCAAACCAATCCAATCATGTACAATTTTCTAATATGGATATTTTTTAAAAAAAAAGATGAACCAATGAGCACATCGATAAAAACACCAGAAGAGACAATATCAGACAACCCCGAAGAAGCTTTTGATTCATCGTCTTTCTCATACAAACTCTCAACAGAGAAAACCAAGTCATTTTCTTCTGGTAAATTGCAAAGGAAATCCTCACAGTTTTGCTGTTGTTGCTGCTGTTGATGTTATAGTCTTATAGAGAAGTAATTTAATAGTTTGCTGATTGTTTGATGTTTTTAAGGAAGTGATGATGAGACGAAGAAGAAAAGGGTGATAACGAGGGTTGTTTATCCATTCGCATTGGTTAAACCCGGCGGCATCGATGGTGATACGACGCTAAACGACATCAACGAGAGGATACTAATGCCGCCGACAAGGCCGGTGAGGCACCCTGTCGGAGACTTCGCTTGTAGGCCATGCGTATCTGCCGATGGTCCCGGTCTTTCTGGAAAAGCTGTTGTGGCCCTCACCAAAATACACACTCAAGGGAGAGGCACCATCACTATTATTCGAACCAAAGGCTAAGGAAACACAATTTGAACTCTTTGTTGTTGCTTGTTTCTTTACTTGAGCATAGTTCATGCTTTTGTTTGAAAAAATTGTATAGGAGGAAACACATGGGGTTTATGAATCATGCATGAATGTAAAATATCATATCATCTTCCACTTTTGTTACACATTTCTTTTAATGATTTTCACGTTTAAATTTGTTTTGATGTAAAAATAATCATACTCCGGACACAAAATTTTATAATAGGAGATTTTAGAAATTATATATATTAGAAATTTAAGAGTGTGAAATTACAAAATTCGGGTTCAAAATCGTATCATCAGTAAAAAAATACAAAAAAAATATTTAAATTATATAGGAATTTGAAATTTCTATGAATAAAACCACACCCCAACATACCTTCGGTCCATCCCTGACCGTACTAATAGAACTAAGACTCAATTTGGTTCGTGTACTTTTGTGAGACAACGATATGGTGTGCTTTGAATCAAATGGAACGTGCAGAAGAAGAAGAAGCAAGAAGAAAGAAAAGATGGGGTAAAAAGAGGGAAAAGAAGGAAAAAGGAAAAGCTAAGGGAATTATTGGTTTTTCCAAATTTTGTTTAGACAAAGACATCAAACCAAAGCCAATTGTAGCTTGTCCCTTTGATGTCTGAAATTATATCATGAACCTTGACCATGTGTGAACTTGTCCAAATCGAAGCATGTGTTGGGCCTCATAAAGAATCGAAATCGATAAAAACATATCATCATTCAAGTAAGACGTTAATTAAATTAAAACCTGAATATTTATGAAAGTGCAAATAAATATCCAACCAACTAGAATCGACCTATCAATTAGTATTTACTACTTGAAACAATATCGTGGGATATGAGCAAGAATCCACTGTTGTCCTTGCCAACAAACAATAAGCACTACTAAATTCATGAATATGCTCCAATCATTAGTGTAATACATGCCATTGAATATATTTTTTATTGCTCTTAGCACAAAATTTTCAACATCTACCAAATGGCTTGGGATTTGTCTTGTTGTTGCTAGGTCAATACCCACCCATTTTCTACCTCACTTACCTGCAGACAAGAAAAATAAAACTTGGGACCCCAATATATCCACCATATCTTTCTTCTCACCTGCACTTTGAATCAACACCGTTCATTTCCTTTGACTTATCAATGTGGGGGAATTATCATGCAAATCCAACGGTTCTGATGAGAGGTGGAGCAACGAAAGAGAACGAGGGAAAGTAGTTGACCTACGTGGTTGGAAAAATAAAAGGGAGTGGAATGATGGGGAACTAGGGTTTTGAGTTTGTCTCTTTAAAACATAAACACATTGGTTAGGTGAAGAAGATTTTGACCTTTTTAGATTATGTATACCTATCCTCTTTACAATATCATATTTGGTAGGCTCCATTCAGATTTTCCCTAATTATCTTACTAATTTGAATTTTTTTAATAGTCTAGAGTAATTATAAGATAATCTTTATTCAATTTTTGTTTACAACGCACAACCTCCAGACGCAATTGTTTAAATATATGACATAAATTTTATTTTACCACTTAGAATACTTGATGAATTCAGTAATCTGAATTTTAAACTTCATTTATAACGACCATTAATTAGAAATAAAAAACAATATTGAATTCAATAAAGATGCAAGTAAATACAAAAGTTAGAACAACTGAATAAAACTTAGCAAATCCCTTTATATAAACATTATTTAACCAATCCTTTTTACTCATTCTTAATTTTTTAATTTTTGTTCGTATTTCTATGAGAAAAGGGCAAAATATAAAAGAAAATCATAGGTAGACGTGAGAGTATATATCTTACTTTTCTGCCTTTTTATCCTTTTTCCAAATCCCAAATTGTGAGAAATCCTTTATGAGTTTGTTTTTAAAGTAATTTTTAAAAGTTGTTATTTGATATATTATTAATACTAAAAAAATATAAATAATTTTTATACGATAATAAGTATTTTTTAAATAAATTTATTTTTTTATTTAAATTTCGACATACTTTGCATCATTTAAATTTTGATTGTGAAATTATATTTTTCATTATCATGCATGTGCTTAAGCTGTAAATGTATAATTTACACACAAATTATTAACAAATAAAAAGGCTTTGTTTATGTAGTTTCAAGTATGATACAAATGTTATGATAGTAATATTATAATAATTTATTGTTGTGTGTGTAAATCAATAATTTTATGATAAAATTAATGTATAATAAAATCATTGATATTATTCTTATGATATTAACCATTAAGTAATTGATGCAACTAATGAGAAAATATCAATGGTAGAGAGGGAGAGTAACATGTAGCTCACACAAAACTTCTATCAAAGAAGCCCAACCAAAGTAAAGATGGAGATAACACGTAATACATTGGCCCAACAAAAGTAAAGGGGGAGTAACATGCAGTTTACACAATTTCTATCGGCATCTATACGTAGGACTTTAAACGAGATCCTAGATAGTAAGTTAGTTAAGCTTGATTGTTTAAAATTCGATCAATATTTGATTTGAATATACTCAATTTGAGCTTAAGTTCTTAAAGAATCAAAATGAATTATTTGATACTTGGCTCAAAAAACTTTTGAAAAACTCAAAAAAATATTAACATTTTAATTTTTAAATTAAATTGTTAATAATATTGATAATGCTCAATCCCACGTAGAGTTGGAAATACTAGTGGGAATGATATTTAAGGTTTACATTCTCCATTCCCTTGTTGAGTGATAGAGAACACGATGTGGTAATACGTGTCTTTGATACGTCCACAAAGATACTATCGTTTTAGAGAAAATTAGTAAGGAATTTTTCTCCGAAAGATTAAATGAAAAATGTGAAAGATTCATCTGATATTTATAGGCTACTGAGACTGTTAAAGTTCGAATATTTCAGATGATAACAACTAATTATTAGTTGTCTGAAATTAAATAAATTAAACAGTTATTTTTCTAAATTAAATCAAAATTTAAGATGTATCTGGACCGATTTCAAACTTTGTTCATGGGAGAGACAAGCTGTTTATATCAGGAGTTACATGATTTAATTTTAGGAGTTATAACTGTTTAATTTTTATGCAATGAAAATTGACTCTTTTTTGAGTCAGATTCATCAAGAGGAGTTACAAAAGGGTTTAAATTCATAATTAAAATCAAATTTAATTTGATTTTCTTGTTGGACGAATTTACCCTTACTTCTAGCCTATAAATAGATAGCTGAATTCAGCTTCTTAACTCACACCTTTACAATTAGAATTCACTCTCCAAGTGCTTTCTAAAGTTTTTCTATATGTGCTTTCCAATCAGAAGTGCAATACCACCAGCAGTCCACTCTGGTTTCGGGTGTATAGAATTCGGAACGACCGTGTTAACCTCGGGGGCGATCCACCTACTGCAGCGATTACACACATCGGGGCGAATTCGTTTCTAAGGCAGTGGTTAATACCACGACACGATAATCGATTCTTTATTTATATATTTCAATATATATCTTTCATGTCAGTGCTAATGCTCGTTTTGCAGCAGTCTATTTTACTAACAATTTAGAAACGAATTCGAATTGATGCATGATATTTGTAAAAGGAACGATGAAACTACATGTTGGATTCGAGTTTGTAAGTGTGAACTCAAATGTCGGTTTAACCTTGCATCAAAGTGGTACGTACTACTTGATGCAAGTGAATTTTAGTGGTTTCTATGTTTTAATACTTGAATTATTAATATTTATGTGCTTTCAATGTTTTAAATATTAGTTGTTATTTGATGTAACAGTATGCTTAATGATTTTAAAATGGATATACGTTAGGTATATTTGAAAGCAATTATAAATATTTTAACTACAATCAACGTCCTATAATAAATGATTTATAAAGTTTAAAGGATAACAGTTTTATTATTAATTTGTAGTTTTAATGTTGTGTTATAAGCATTTGTGCATGATAATATGTTATCATGATTAATCTGGAACGTTGGTGTTTAATGTACATCGGTTGAGTATGCATTAGTAGTATTTTTTTTAATTGATGATTCATTTGAATTTTAAATGGATTAATATTGAATAAAAAATAAAAATATTCATGTGAGTTGTGAATAGATATTTATTAGAAATTATAGCACTTTAAATGCTATTGTGAAGAATGAATGTACATAAGTTATAAAATTTATAATAGTAACTTATATGAATAAATGTTTTTGACGTTTGCATTGTTTGCATTTATAAATGCATAATAATATATTAATCATGTGGTTTGAGAGATTAATATTATATTAATACATCATCAATTATGATAATCTTTGAATAATATTTACATGTTCTATCATGTGTTAGTTAAGTGAATAGTGATGACTGATTCATGAAAGACATGTAATTATTTATTTATGTATTGAGGAAATTAGTATGACACTTGAAAATCAAGGTGAAATAATTATAAATTATTTTATCATACTAATAATTTCATTTGAGAAATTTATTAAAGACAACATGATAGTTGTAATTTTGGAGAATCACGAAGATGATGATGTTGAATGAGAAGATTCTTCAAACTGAATAGTTATTAAATTCGGGTTTGATTCCATAATTTCTTGAAGATAAGGAACCCAAATCCTAAAGATAAGGAATCCAAATCCTAAAGATAAGGATCTTGTCACTATCAATAAATTATTTTAATTATTGTTAGTAAATTAATTTCGTGACTAACCATGTATATTCTTCATTTGACTTCAGAAGATACAAAATAGATGTTGGTTCAGATGAAGTGATTGTCACGATGGATGTTGGGATCATGCTGATTAAAAATGATGATGCAAAGAATGAAGTAGCATGCATGGTGAGGATGAACAAGTCTATTTGGAAATTATGACTCTACCTACGAGGTCATATTATTTAGACTTGTTGTTTGTTAATTCATGTTCTTTTAAATACATGAATTAGATTGCATGAGCCTTTAAGGTAGTCTTTAAAACTCAGTGGATACTATGAAATGAGATAAAATCACTAGTAAAGACTAAGGTAGTACTACTAAGGCTAAGGTGGTAATGTGAGGCCAAAAATATATATGCTTAATAAGATACTATTGTGAGTAAAAATATCAAGCATAATTCTTTAAGAAAGCCTTAAGAAAGAAAAT